CAACAACAATTTCATATACTCTTCAACATAAAGAAAATTAAACGAACAAAGTCAGTATGAATTGTTCGACTAATGAGTCGTTTTTAAAAACAAAAGTCAGAACTAATGGCTTGACTGTAATGGCTTGATAGCTGACCAAAGTAAACATCAGTGAATAATACTTGGAGACATACCTGGAACATCAGTCCTTGTTTTCAATATTTATTTCCTTAATTCCATATATTTAATTTCCACAACGAGCTCAAGTATAAGCCACGCATTTCACTGATTTGCTAAAGAACAAATAACCAGTTCGGTGTCATAACTTCATTTTGTTAACTCATCCCTACTTCAGTCTTCAACCGTTCATTTCACTCTCCGTTGACATAAGTTTAAAGAAGTACTAGACTGGTAACGTAATAGATTTGTTCTAAAATATTTCGTGCGTGATTGCACAGCAGTCATGTTACCTTAAGACGGTCACGTGACAAGGGAACTAGATCGTAGTTTTTCGGTAGTTCCAGGCCTCCTTTATGTAACCACTTCTGATATTTCTTTAAACTCTTGTTACGCCACTAAAGAACATTCATACTGCCATGCTTCTGGCTGAATGATATAGCATCTCTATGTAATAAAATGAAGTATAAAGTTGCTTTCTATTATCTTGACGGAGTTCATAAACTGAATCTCTATATTTGTTATCAGAGAGATGGACTGGATCTTAACGCCTGTGAGACTTGTTACTAGGATTTTCTGGAAATTGGCCACGCCCTTTTTTTGTGGTACTCATCTTGTTCAACTGGATCCTTCTTTGTCATAACGGGTTAGTTTAGTTCTTTTTTCTCTAATTGTCTCATCGGATATTACCAGTAAGATTCTCGCTTCTTATTTTGTTAGGCTGTATGTACAACGTCAGTTTAGTTAGGTTTGTAAAGGCGTACAGCCTTATGGGTTTACGGTTGTGGTCACGAGAAAAATTAGTATAACATTCTGGGAACTGCTCTCCCCTAGTTAACGTTGGGTCAGGGGAGTGGTACGAGTAGGTGTGTTGTTTCTCAGAATCCTATAGTGATCCAGAACAACTTATCTATTTAATCGTGACCTTACGCAAAGGAGTTTTTGAGCGACAGACAGCAACTGGAAGTGGAATTTCTGCATTCTTGCCCAAATTTTCCGGCATATCGTCGCTATAAGAGTAGAAACGTTTTTAGCAATAGAAGCTTGTGAGCATCAAAGCACGTTAAAAAAGATGATGGTCTTATTTGCTTAAGGTCCTTAATTACTTATCCATTCCGGAGACTGCTCACGAAAATATTCGTTTACGACCGATTACGTGTGTACGCACGTTGCCGCTCGTTTTAATGGGACTTGACTTAGGCTTCATCATAACATTATTAACTTGTTCAATTTCAGCTCCGTGGAAATCGAGACTGAAAATAGATTTTCTTGAACTGAAAGCTTACACTGATGCAGTGAAGTCAATTCAACGGACTTTCCTGCAAACCGGATACCTTTCTAAAACGAAAAAGTAGAGCTGGTACTTGCCGTGTTTTGTTATTTCCTATCATGCATTTGACTTTGTACAAGACGGGCAACTCTTTAAGATGGAGAAATGCATGGTGGCGCAAAGGCATAAAATGTCAAATGTCAGTTAACCCGTGTTCATGTGACATAACAATAGTACATAAGAGAAAACAATCAAAAGAATCAAGTTTGTAGTCTTCTGACTTTTCCTCTTAGGCTCACGGTCGTTCCATCGTAAATGTAAAATTAGTGAGAAAGGAAAGCATAAATATACTCAATCACAAGCGATCATCCTTATATCGCAACAGGATACAGTTAAGGCTTACACAATATAATTAGCATTGACTGTTGGACTTTCTATCATTTTCTGGTCTGATGGCCTCTCCTTCGGTTCCACGTTTAAATCTTCAGTGAGTTGACCTGTACAGTGTGCGCTGGTTGGAAGATGTTGTGAAATTGTGTGGTTTGTTGGTTTTTCCTTGTGGAGACTAATGCCCTCCTCTGCGGTGAATTCTTGCGCTGTTTGATTCTTAACGTAAATGTCATTCTCAGGGCCAACTTTTCGTTTTGAAGGTTTGTCCTTTGAATTTGAATGAATACGGACAAGGTGTTCCTTTCTGGTGTAAACATCACTTGTTGTTGGCTTTTTCGCTACTTTCTGCTTTAGTGGTTTGTTGTTAGGTACTGGGTGTACCTCCACTGTGACTACATGACGTGTGTAGTCTGCTTTGGGTGCTGGACTCTCAACCCCGGAGCATGTCCCTGCGCAGTTTCTGGGGTGGTTCTCCACCCTTGTTAACTGTGGGATGTTCTCAGATTGGTGCTTTTCCGATGACAAAGCCCTGACCAGATAAGGTACGCCGTCTAATCCACATACCTCATCTTCACTTCCACCTTTTTCCTGCTCTCCAAACCTTCGTGCTGAGAGGCCCATTTTCCTTGCATTCTGATTTGGAACATTGTGTTTGAATCGTAGCTTTTGGTCGAAATCTTGGAAAGGAGTCTTTCCACAGGGATCATTCAAAAGCTGTTTCAGTGCGCGACGAAACCTTCTGACCCGGAAACAATAGATGACGGGATTAATCCCGCTCGACATGAGCATGGCAAGGTTTGCAAAGTGACCAAGCAAAGTTTTACCATTGGATTCGGGCTTAACACTAGTCAAGATAGCTACAACGCAAACGGGCGGTATGTAACATACAAGGAATGCGAGTACAGCAATGAAGATGGTTTTGGCAGCTTTGATATCCATTTGTAGTCTGGCGTCATTTTGTAGTCGGGGTAGATTGAGCCGCTTTCTCTGTAAGTGACAAAGGTTTTAGATAACTTAAGAATTGAATGCTACTGGGTGCCCTCTAGAAGGTGAAGAGATATGAAACATTGTTTTTAGTTTCACGTTATCCCGGCGGCCTGGAATCCCGAACCGTTACATTTTCTAAGTTGGTAAGAATTTTTCAATAGCATCTCAGTACGGGCTGTGTATTCACGCCGCAATGTCAGGGCACTCGTTTTATAGTTTTACACCGCGCTCAATAAGGGAGAAATGTACTTGGTTGCGGCTAGCTTGCTTAGCTGGCAGTTATTTTAGGAGGGGGGCAAAGGCGTGCCGCGATGCTGCAAGGAGAATGAGACCGCGCTCGTTCGCCCGCGCTTTCGCAGCTTCGCTGCTCTTTGTGCGCTCTCAAGACAAAAGCCCTAGCTACGCAAGCTACAGCCTTACAGCCATATCTTAACTTTCACTGTACTTTACTTTCTGAAGTGGTATTGTGACCCACTTTTTTTCTCTCCTTAAATCCATTTCTTTACTTATTCTTTCTTTTTCATTTAAATGATAAGAAAATTCTACATGTGAGAAGAGTTTCGTTTTTCTTCTTACATGCGAAGGAATAGTTAACGGTTAACGTGCTAACGTCCGTAAAGCGTGAAATATAAAGATTTTAGCAAAAGTTGTCGAAAATAAAGGACCATTTACAGGGTTGTCATTAAGAGCCGGGGGCCGGGGATTTCCCCCGGCTACTAAGAGAGTGGCCCCCGGCTACTTTTATGGGAAAATAGAAGAAAAATAAAACCAAAAGAAATCCCTAGCCGTTTGATTCACCGCCTACTTGTTGTATTTACCCGGCAAATACTAGTGACAACCCTGCATTTAATTTACCCTCAGTCTTCTTACCTGCCGTTTCCTCAATTGAATAGCACAGTAAGCCATGACGCCGAGTACTATTGCAGTGACGATGAACAACGCGCCGATTACTGTTAAAAGCACATTACTTTGATTCATAAAAGCACCACGATATGTGGACACAGAAGCATCTTGAAGGTCGGTGTCAGAATGGGGATTTAAGGAGATAACCGCGCTGGTAACACAGACCATCCACACACCCAGCACCATGGCCAAAGCTTTTTCGTTGGTCTTCCAGGTGAAATATTTCAGGTTCAGTGCTATCGCTAGAAAAGCATTTCCCAGCAGCACCAACATGGAGACCACGTTTAGGAAGATAAAGAGGCGGAGCAGAAATAGCGATATAATCGCCAGTGTCTTCCCTGTAAGCCATTTGACTTTCAAGACACCCCAAAGCAGGTATAAAGGTCCGTTGATGAGTGCGTTGGAAAAATCGACCAACGCCAGATTGGCAATCAGCATGTTTGCAAAGGTGCGAAGCTTCTTAAAGCGAGCAATGATACCGAGAACGAACCCATTACCAAGTACAGCAAAGATAGCCACTAATGACAGTAATACAAGCGTCAAGATTGTGATGGAGGAGAAGTCATCGACTTCCATGATTTTCTTGGCGCATCTGACTCTATCGGCTCCCAGTGTTGCGATATGTATCAAAGAGCAGCAATGATGCTGACGTAGTCCCATGTGCAGCTGACGTTTTCCCTTCGGTTAGAATGGAACAGTTATGCCACTTCAGTTGTTTATTCGGAAATCACCACAATGGAAACGTTTATATAGTTAACGAGCTGTATAAGTTTTTTGATTGTTAAGGAAAGCAGTTGAAAGCTGCTACGTACTTTCGTCTCTTTGAGAAAACGTTCGTCTCATTTGTGGTCCGAAGTTAAAGCCGGAGCTGCATACTTGAAATATTATTGGTGACAACAAATGGTAATGGAATAAATCAGTGAGTGTAGTTTTAATTCATAACATTCAACCTTTTTCTTAATCATCTTTATAAAACGCTCGCTAAACATTTCCTTACGTAGGTTTTACAGGAAGGAATAAAAGCACTTAAATCTTTTATTGTGGTTGGTTTCCCAGCCGATGTGATTCAGAATTTTCTTCCCATGGCATGGCACATTGGTTCATATATCTAACAGTTGAGAAAAAGAAATGTGTGGTTTTCGTCACGGCCAAAAATATAGGTAGAGCATGCGTTTACCCTTTTTTGGTACATGCAACTTGAATCAGCCGTACAAATTAACAAAGACTGATAAAATTTTCGAAGGTAAATCTTAAATGTTTTAAAAATAAATCTTTGATTCTTTGAAAATAAATTAGCCTTTTATAAGAAGCACAAAAAGAAGTCAAATAGTCGTATCAACTGAACGCTAGATGTTTATTTCATTGTGTATTATTTTTGTTGCAATATAACGTTTCCTTTAGTGTGTTTTTCCTTGTTCAAATTTTAAAAAGCTTCTAATTGAAATGTTTTTTACTTAAAAAGAGTTACGGATCAATGTATTGTAGGTTTGGGTACATGGTAACTACTCTACAGTTTTTATTGATTGTTTTCTATTCACTCATTTTGTTTATTATCTTTAACGGGTAATCTTTTTTGTAGTATCTTCGGATAAGGACTTGCTAATACACATAAAATGACGAATTTAAACCCCAAAAAACTAATCTTACACATGTTCAAGTCTAAGAATATGGAATTTGTTTTCCTGGTCGTTTTCAGCAACATTTTGTAAGCAATTTAGCAGGTTACTCTCTTGGTGGATTGTAACTTCTTATAGATTAGCCGGTAGGGTTTTGATTGGCTCCCCAAGCACCTATTAAAGTTAGGCCTACCTTGCCCTCTCGGGATTGCCCGCGTTGTCCCGCAAGAAAAGCTCTCTGGCCCGTTTATGATAAATCCTTTAATTTATTGAACAAGTTTATTCGATCAAGATTGTTTGATATTGGCCCCGTTATCTCTTTTTTTCGGTCCATGAAAACCAAAAAAGCTTTGTCAGTGATTCTTATATAACAAGTAGCATTCAGCACTGATAATAATGAATTTCATATATTTTCATTCACTCATGATAATAATACTTAACAATTATTCCTCGAGCCCGAATGGGCTCTGAGGCTATTGACTCAGAGGCCATGAGGGCGAGAGGAATAATCGTTTTAGTAAAATCTAACTAGTTAGTCAAAAACATCGAGACAAAACAACTTTAGCTAGCAAAACGCGATTCAGCCGCCTTTGTTTTGGTTTTCAAAGCCGACGCTTTTCGCTACTAGTGGGCTATAACATATAGCCTATTAGTAGCTCAACCAATCAGAACGCAGCATTAATGATATACCACTAGTTGGATTTTACTAAAATCATTTATTCACAGGGGGGTAGCTACCTGTACGCACCGTACGCTGAGAAAGTCGTGCACAAAAATAAATAAAAATAATAAATAAATAGTAATGATTAAATAATAAAAAATAAAAAGTTAGTTCTAAAAAGAAAGCAAAATATCTAAAGATAATTATTTTAAGAGCACAGTTTGCCTCAATTCATTCAACTTTGGTTGTTTCTTGGAAAAGTATTTTTTTTTCTAAAACAACTGACTTTATTTCCCTCTCCACCCAAATGTGGGTTTCCAGAGAAACGAAGTAATTCACTTATGGACCGAATCTTGATAACATATATATCTAGTGAAAAGATGGCAGACGTATTTACTGAAACCGTGTTCGGTTTCCTAACCGTTTACACACATCGATAAATCCTGGGTGCGACGACAAAGGCGACGGTGACGGTGACGGTAATGAGCCCAATAAGTAAGTGAAAAAACAACA